CAATATTAGAATTCCAGGTAGGATGATCTTGCATATGGTGAATCATATAATATTCCAGAAACAATTAGTGTAAATTTGTTCGATTGGTGACCTACTTATTTCGTAGAAATTCATATTGAATATAAGATGAAGAAAATAACTTTTGTCTAATTTCTACTACGATTTCTATACGTTACGACCGGTTACTTGAATTGTATACAATTGATATTGTTTTTGCTAGTTTGTTGAGAGCGCATATTCGTTACCTACAACGGAAGATGATAACTTTGTTCTCAAAATTCCTCAATGAATATTAGCGTCAAGCCTATTACAAGCTAGTAAAAACTAACTTCAGGTCCAGAAAAAATATGATCAATTCTGATAAAAGACTGCTTGAGTGTATTGCTACATCCACTACAAATTCTTTTCAATCTTATTCTGAAGACGGCAGTTTTTTCCAGAAACTTGAAAACATTTCCCAAGTTTGTCCAAGGCGCAGGATCTAACGTTATTAGTAACTATAGACCAATTTCAGTTCTCAGCAACTTTGCCAAGCTCTTGGTGATTACGTACAACCGCATTCATCTGTCAACCAAACATATTATTTATGATCATCAACATAGTTTCATGAATTATAGATTCACAATCAATAACTTGGCTGTTTTTGATCAGTTTTCATGTGAAACCCTGGACCGTAGGAGGCATGTTGGTGTGGTGTACACAGACTTCTCTAAAGCTTTCGATAAAATTAGTCATGCGATTCTCATTCATAAACTTTCTTGCAAAATCTCATCATCATGAAACACTTATTGAAATATATACTCAGACCTATAATGGACCTACTTTGAATTTTCGCAGAGTGACACCACTCCAGACTCAACAATACATCAGTGGCATGAAAAGTAACTGTGCTGGATCTGACAACATTTCTCTCATTATGTTAAAATATATTGAAAATAATCTTTTCAACCACATCACACACATATTCAATTCCTCTATAGAAACAATAGAGTACAATTGCATGGAAACATGCAAACATACTCCCTTTGTGAATGTGAAAATCCAACTGAATTATCTCATTTGAGGCCAATTATCAAACTGTCTATCCTATCTAAGGTGTTCGAGCGGATTCTGAAAGATCAAATTGATTCTTTTGTATACAATAACAATTTAATAACAAATGTTCAATCTAGATTTCGTACATTCTATAGCACCACCACCGCTCTTGTTAACATCACCCAAGATTTATTCAAAGCAATTGATAATAATGAAGTAAATGTCATGGTATTCTTGGAATACAGTGAAGCATTCGGATTTAGTGAAGGGACTGTAAATCTACTGAAAAGTTACCTCAGAAATCGGACTCAGTCAGTATATCTGGATGGAAAGTGTTCTAGTGCTTTACCTGTTGATTATGGAGTACCTCAGGGCTCTATCCTTGACCCTATTCTGTTCTCTGTATATATATATCTGACTTTCATAAAATAATTGATCATTGCACAGTTCATCATTATGCAGATGACATTCAGTTATATTATCGATTTGCTCCAAGTAACTGGCAGGTAGCAATGGAAAAAATCAATAGCGATCTACAAAAGTTACTGGATCTATCTATAGCCCTCAACCTGAAATTGAATTCTGAAAAATCTCAGCTGATACTTTTTGGCCCGAAACACTAAAGACGGGAAATTGAAGGAAGAATTGAAATCTAATTTGGATAAGACTTACTATAAACAATTACAGAAAGCAAGGACTTGGGCTTATGGCTAGATGCTGATCTGAGATTTTACAAACATATAAATTCACTTTGTCGTAGCGCTCATACAGTATCTTACGTCAACTCTATCAAAGTAGAGATATTATGACTTCCAAATTGAGGTTGAAACTTTGCGAAACCCTCATATTGTCTAGATTAGCATATTGCGATATAATCTACGGGCATGCTCTGATACAAACTGATGTAAATCGCTTACAAAAAATACAAAACAATTGCATTCGTCTTTCTTATGGTGTGATAAAATTCGACCATATATCCCCCAAGTTCGAGTAGTCAGGTTGGTTACCGATTGCTAAAACCTGACAGTTCCATTTACTCGTCAATACACATACATTCCTCATTTACAAAAAGCCAAATTATATTTATGAGGGATATAAAACTTTCAAATCACAGAATAATTCGAGGACACGAAACCGTAACACTTTTATTATTCCAAAACACTCGACAGCCTGCTTTTCTCGTAGTTTTATTTACAACTCTATCGAACAATATAATGCTCTGCCCAGTAAATATATAATTTTAAGAAAAAGTTGGAAACATATCTGAAGTCTTCTGGATAGATAATATATTCATGTTATGCCTTGCTCATATGGTTTTACCTTTGTCTCACCTTTGTGTATGTTTTGCTATATTTTACCTTATTTAAGCTGAATAGATTTTTAATATTTACTTTGGAATTTATAACCTTTGTTTTTTCTTAGTCTCACAAAGATTCATGAACTACTTACTTACCAATGTATACTAGGTAATTATTTTTATATTTCTATATAAAACATGCTATCCCCCAGGTTGAGTTGTGAAACAGCCTCGGCTGAATCTCTGATCTAGAAGTCCAACTTTCTTTTGATGATCATTTTAATTTTATTGTTACTTCTTCCAATCGCTCTCACGGTTTCAATAATATTTTATCTCTTACTTTCCCAATATTTTAGCTTAGTAAGCTCAAAGGTTTATACATGGGTCCTTCATATTTTATCCCATTTATAGTCAGTATAATTTATGAAATATTGAAAGAGTCCATAATAAAACTCAAGTTTTGAAATTACTGGCATGTATACTCAAAGAAATTGCAATTATATCGAACTATTGCGAACATTTAATTTTTTGTCACCAATGAATTTAATGTGCAGTACTGCAGAGCAGCTGTCAATTTCATGTGATATTTTTTATTGTAGTATATGCGAGCTGAAAACAGAATCTTTTGAGTTGTGAGTTTGCACTGGCCAGGCCCTATCCCATGAGGCCCCGCTACATTGCGCGCCAGCATTATCAATCAACGATCACTCCCCACATCGTGGGGTAAGTGATCATTGGGTCCGAGAATCATGTGCCCTGAAAAAGCGCAGTGAGCCAAGAGTGACAGCATTCTCCATTTGTCCGGCAAATATTTCTGCCTTAGAATCCAGTTTTCAGCATCTGGTAAAGTACCTCTCTTGATAGCTGGCCTGAAAGATCACTCAACATAGTAGGTGATCGGTTACGTTAAAAAACGTTTGAATAGGTATTAGCCATAATAAACACTCTCGGGTTACAGTAAATGGTTGAATAGATTCACTCACTTTGGGTCCTCCTACCTACCTATTTACCTACTTGATGATGACATGGTACTTCAATTTTTCATTTTCCCAATTTTGGTCTACATCTTTTTTGAAAATTTCATTGTGAAACACTGCTTTGACTTTTTGACATGAATTTTTACGCTGAAACTTCTAACGGCTGTTTCACTTTCCAATTTCATATATTCCTCGCTGGATAAAAAAAGTACGTGGGCGCACTTTTCTTCGATCTATCCAAGGCTTTTGATTCAATAAACACAAATGTTACTTTATCTAAATTAGAGAGTATTGGATTCCGTGGTAATTTCTTGTCATGGTTGTCCTCATATTTAAAACATTGAAAAATATTAGTGAATATCGCAGGATGTGAATCTTCTCTAAAGGAAATGGAACTAGGTGTTCCTCAGGGTTCTATATTGGGACCGTTGATTTTTCTGTGCTATATAAATGACATGCCACGTCACGTAAGTTCCAACAATATCATTCTATATGCGGATGACACGACAATAGCTACGGAGGCCAACTCTCTCGAAGAACTGGAGGATAAACTCCAAATTTTTACTGAAGAATTCACGTACTGGTGTCGTAGGAATTCTTTAATTATCAACTGCGAAAAAACGGTAGGTATGTATTCAATTTTCCAATAGAGTGACGGCCTATGAGCCACTGAACACCTCTCCCAATATTGAGTTTTCAGAACATACAAAGATTTTGGGAGTATATCTCGATGAAGACATGAGCTGGAAGACCTACATTAATTATGTTATTAAAAACATGGGGGAATGCAGTCGATGCTTCTAGAGTATTTATATTGTAAAAAAAATTATACGACTCATATACAATCTTCCACATAATGAAACATGTAAAAATCACTTTAGAAAGAGTAGACCTTTTACACTTCCATCGATTTATATATATAAAATACTATTATATGTTAAACAAAATATTGACAAATTCAAATTGAATTCAGACATGCACCAGTACCCTACTAGAAACGGTAACCTACTCAGGATCCCGAAACATACCAGCTCGTTGTACGAGAAATCTTCAAATTTTACTGGCAATAATTTTATAATTGTCTTCCTATCAGCATTAAGGGTGAACAAAATTTCATGAAATTTGAGGCCAAATTGAAATCACACTTAGTAGAGTCATGTTTTTACAATGTTTCAGATTATTGCCCTACAATGAAATGGATAATGTAACACGTAGATTTTACTTATTTATTGTTTTCACTGTTTCCTGTGTTGTATTTTATGTGACCTATATCATGTGAATGATCTTTTAAGGATAAATAAATTTATTATTATTATTATTATTAATAAGTTATTCTTCTGTGCTATAGTAACGCAATATTTTGTTTATACACTATCCTGGGCTGACTGTTGAAAACAATCTGTTTTTCTGTTAACCAGCTGTTGTCCCCTATGAACAACAAACCTTAGAAGTCGAAATTTGTGCGAGTTGAAGATTACGGAGGTCTTAACTTTCAACGTGCAAGTACTAGCATGGGTTGGATGATAGGCACTAAAAATCGATCGTTCGTAGGGCTCGAACCGCCGTTTCATCAATACATCCTCCTATTTTTGCAGTTCGATCGATAATTTGTTCCAATAGGCCCATAAGTATTTGTTGATACGTGTATTGTCACTTAATCATATTGAGAATTGGTTGATAAATTTACTAGCGTCGACCCTGTTTCTGATGTCGAAACATCAATTTCAATGAATCGTCGGAATTAACGCGAAGCAATTTTAGCAAGTCCCATTGTAATAATATCGAGTTTAAGGCAAGAAGGACCCGCCCTAACCCAGACCTTCAGCGAGAGCGAAAGTGGATCACATTAGAGCACACCTGGGCTATACCGTTGAAATGATGTAATTTTGGATCAGCATATAAAAATCGATGGGTCCATTCAAAATGCATCAGTTTCTCTAGAACAAGATCAACACCAACTACAATGGCTTTCAAAGTGAGTACCTTCTTGTTATTTCGAAAATTTGCTTCACTCGAACATTGAAGAAATTCATCAAAATTGAAATTATGTGGTAACAGAAAACATTTGATAAAATTTCTCACTTATAATTGAAAGTAAGATTTTTAGTCAATTGTGTTGGAAAGCCTCATCTTCAGTTCATCATTTTCAGGCGATAAATGTCTTTATTGTTAACTTTTGTTTAGCCTGGAATGTAGGTGAGAAATACTTCATGGATTCGACTTGAAGACAATCAGTTCATGCGTTTTGGTTTTGAATTTCAATTTGTCCTTTGTCAAATTCTCCAAAATCAACATTTGATACATCGATTTAATCCTTTTGAAATCTTACTGTTGGTAAAGTTTCCTCTTCAAACACAATTACAAGCAATATTTGAAGCTTGTTGTATTTTAGGGGAAGTATGTGATACATTGAGATTTCAAAACCCATGCTTTTTAATTTTTTTTACTGAATTCATTCGTTTCCTATTTGGCCCTGTAATTGTCTTAGGCAATTACAGTTGTTAGTAATTTCTTTGTAAATACAGAATTGTGTTTTCCAGTGTTCAAGCCGCTTTTTGATTGGAAATGGTTCGATTTACTGGTGAAAGATGTTTTCTAGTTGTGTAACTCGATTCACACCTCGATTCGCAAACTTTACATTCGAACAAAATCACTTTTTGCTGCCTTTTTGTCAACATAAACTATTTCTGATTCACTTTCACATCGCCATTTCAGACATATTTTGTCAATTTTGAATAATTATTATTACTAATAACCGAAAAATTTTGAACAACTTCAAGAAAAAGAAGAAGGTTCTCAGTTCGTCAGAATATTTTTCATGTTTATTCAACAATACTTCGTTATAAACAGGATCGATTTTCATTATTCTTTTCTATTTGAACTTGAATACTTCGATTATGGTTTCATTTGGATTTGGTGAAGTTCTGATGAAAAAATGATGAGAAAATCCACAGTATCAAAAATTTGCAAAAACTATTTCATTACAAATGGACTAATAATTATATACCGCAATAACTGATTTCCATGATTCCATTAAATGGATATGCCGGCAATATTGCGAACTAGCAAATTAGCAAATTAGAAAACACCTATCATTTTATGGCGGTATGAAATATTTCTGTTAATGGGAAAATCATTGAAAAATTCCATCAAAGTGTTTTCGCCCTGTACATGTATTCAATCCTTTCAGTCGCTGTATCCAAACTGATATTTTTTTTGGGTATCACTACAACACTACAAGATTCATTTTGTTTCATTCTCGTGAAAAAGTGTAATAAATTATCGTTACGACATTAAAAAAACTTGAAATACTGAAAAGCAGAAGTGATAGTTAGGATTTCTGTTTCTACAAAACAATTAATTTACTAATCCAAGTATTTTCTGTTGATAATATATTGCTAATGAATTATATCTACCTGTTTTTGGAATAGTTAGAGTTGCTGATATTCGAAGTGACAAATAAGAAAGGAATACTTACAGAAAACTTGTACTTCACTATACATTTTTCGAATATATACTAAGCACCAACATTGTCGACTATTTCAAATACAAAATACAATTCTGGAATGACATCAACAATATTACATTCTTATATTCTGGAACAGAATAACAGTATTTATTATGTGTGTTTGATGACTTGTTTATTTTGTGGTAATTCATAATCACTTTAATGATATGAATAAAAACACTTTTGTCTAATTTCCACTAGTAAACCGGTCGTATGAATGAAATTAACTAGTGGAAATTACACAAAAGTGTTTTTATTCAATAAAAACGATTTTGTCCAATTTCCACTAGTTAACCGGTCGTATAAATAAAATTAACTAGTGGAAATTAGACAAAAGTGTTATTATTCATTTCATTAAAGTGAGTATTTATTCTTAGCCAAGATTGATTATTATTCATCTAATGTTGTTAACAATATTCATTTTCAAGTAATACAACAATGATATCCGGCGAAAATCAAGGGGAGGGAGATATACATCTCAAAAAACTTTGACTTTGATAATTTCATTTTTTCATTATTTCATTTGCTAATGTAAATGAAATAATACGTTTTCGAAAAAATTGATTATTTTAATTGTTTTAATTTCGAAGGATTCTACTATTCTAATCCATAATGTAAGCTAATTTTCGCGTGTGGTTTGATTTCTTTTTAGCTATAGAAAACTTACACATATATGCAAAACAAATCATCATAAACACAGATTTTTTCTTTTTTTACATTAGTATCTCCTAATTTTTTTGAGAACTCTGCGGTAAATTTAGTGAAATAGTAATTTATCTTTCAATTGATCCCTTTGAAAATCAACGAATTACATCCACATATCAAGTTATATGGTACCTCCAATTATTCATTTGAAAATTATCATTAATGTTATGCAAGAACCACTATGGGTTCCCAGCTGTATACAAATTGTTAAATGAGATAGTACACGCATCTGTTCCCCAATCTTCACTCTTTGAGTCATGTGACAAATAATTTCGAGTTCAGCTCTGCAGCATTTCCTCAGATACTGTAATGAATTTTTCAACAGCATAGTACGTGCAACAGTATGGAAAATCTTCTTCAATCCATGAAACTGAAAAACATTTTATCGATTCATCTAAGTCTTTCACAACCTTTTCTATGAGATCAATCACAATTTACAGATCAAAAATGTCTCCCAGTTAAAATATGCGAAGCAAAATTAATATGGTTTGAACGAATCGTTTTCTAGATAATTTGAAAACTGATATTCATGAAGGTAGACCAATAATTATTCTGTTCCCTTTCATTTCCCAATTTGAAGACATGAGACTCAATTCAATATTAACATTGGTATGGTAATCGTATGTCACCATTTTCAAAACAAAGGTTGAATTTATAAATAAGTCATCACCGCAAATATACATGAGTACTGTCTATTAATTTGGCAAATAAACCATCTGGATTACATGCTAAATCGTTTTCAAGTTTCATTATCAATATAATATCTTCATGATATTGAGAGGTTATTCATAAAGTCAGGTTAGACTATATTTTCATCCATATTCATCTATAATCGAAAAATGTTCATTGAATAATCTAGAATTTTTCTTGTAATTTCTCAATATACTGCTCAGATTCGAATTGTTGTACGATCAACAATAATTTTTTTTAGTTGAAACTATAAGTCTCAGAACGAGATTTTGATATTATGTTTTTCCACAGTTCGTCGTACTTACCACCCTATTGGCCTATGCCAACGCAGGTCTCATCGCCGCTCCTGCAGTAGCAACCTACTCCGCAGCTCCAGCAGTTAGCAGCTCTTATATCCACCAAGCATCCCCCGTAGCTGTCGCACATGCTGCTCCCGTTGTATCCACCTATGCCGCCTCTCCTGTAGCCATCCACGCCCCAGCTTACGGAGCCACTCACCAAAGCGTAGAACGTTCTCTTGGAGGTGCTCAATCTGTCTCTCACTACTCCAAAGCCGTTGACAGCGCTTTCTCCAGCGTCAGGAAATACGACACACGTATCACCAACGATGCCCTTTCTGTAGCTCACGCTCCAGTTGTTTCTGCTTACTCTGCTGCTCCAGTCTATACTAAAGCTGTTGCTCCCGCAGTTGCATACTCTGCTGCCCCATCGTTCAGCTCCTCATACATCCAGAAGGCTGCCCCTCTTGCCTACGCTTCATATGCTCACGCTGCTCCTGTAGCTACCTATGCCCACGCTGCTCCTGTAGCTACCTATGCCCATGCTGCTCCTGTAGCTACCTATGCCCACGCTGCTCCTGTAGCTACCTATGCCCACGCTGCTCCTGTAGCTACCTATGCCCACGCTGCTCCTGTAGCTACCTATGCTGCCCATGCTGCTCCTGTAGCCGCTTATGCTGCCCATGCTGCCCCTGTAGCTTCCTACTCTGCTGGTCCAGTCGTAACTAAAGCTGCCGTAGCTTACTCTCCAGCTGCTGTTGTTTCTCACATGTCCTTCAGCGGGCTTGGAGCTGCTTACCAATGGTAATTCGACGAATTTTGCCATACCTATATGTAAATATTCACAATCATGTTATTTATTTATTGATTTCAAATAAATGATCTTAACTTGACATTGGTTCTTATCTTTCATAAATGTTGTTTTTTGTTCTAAAATCATCCTGTTTTTCTCATTTTTTTCAATGTTTGAATAACTTTATGAAAAAAGCTCGAATAAAATGGTATACATGCATGCTTTCCACTTTGTGTAATATATGGAGGAGATTTTTATAAATATGCATGTTGCCATAGATTCATTCATTGAAAGAAAAAAATTATAAGGATGAAAATAAAATATTTGAAAATTATAAACAAGATTGGTACAGTAATGCGAAAAATTCATATTTTGAGCCTTGAAAATATTAGTTCTTGAGAATAATAATTTGAAGTGAATTGAGCTAGAAGAAGAGGTCTATAGAAACTTTTAATGAGCCACCATTGAAAAAATGTTAAGCCAGGATAATTGGTATTCCAAATATTTGATATTGAAGTATTTGGGTGAACCACGAAGTGGGTGACATCTAGTTATATTAATTGAAACGTCAAACTCCAGGAAAATATTCAATCACAAACAGTTGAATATATATTGAAATATTCTTGAACAGAAAGGTGAAAGTCAACTTTTCATATTGTTTAGAGACTCAAAAAGTATTGATATGTGAGCCAGTATGATAAATATGTACCCTTTGAAATATGTGTTCAAGCAAAGCTCTCTCTAGGATCCAAAACTAGCAGAGAAATGGAAAATTAGATCCGGAATTGGCAAATCAATCACGGAAAATAGGTACTCGGTTTGTTGGGGGGACTCTGGCTAACCATGAATGAGAACTAGATCCATAAATGGCTAGCGTTTGTAATAGTTCATACCTACAATATAAATAAATTAATAAATACATATACATTAGAAAAATTATAAGAGAGTGAGAAATGACTATGTGAATATGTTAAAAGTAAAGAAAGAGCGTTATTTTGAATAGAAAATTGATGAAAATAAACATAATGCGAAAGAAATGTGGAAATATTTAAAATCACTTATAAATCCAATTGAAAGGTATGATTTTGAAAAGATAGTATTCAATGTCGGTGATCAAATAAAAGTTTGTAGCACAGAAATTGAATATTTTGTCAATAGTATAGGTGAAATTGTAAACAATATAAATTCTGAGTCCGACTGGAGTTCAAACAGTTTCGACATAGTAAATTGTAAATTAAATTCTTTTGAACAGATAGACTTGCTGCAGTTGAAAAATATAATATTTTCAATAAATAAAATCAATAGATCTGAGATAATGAACAGTCTATTTCTAAAAGAGGTATTCAACACCTTGGGGCATATTATACTGAACTTTATTAATACGTCTCTTCAAACAGGACAATTTCCCCCAACACTTCAAAATAAGCACAGTAATACCAATACCAAAAATAAATAATACTTATGAAGCATGTTATTTTCGTCCTATTAATACTCTTCCAACCCTTGAAAAAGTATTGGAATTAGCAGTATATGTGGAACCCAACAAATACTTTGATGAAAACAGGTAACTTTTAGGTTGTCAGTCAGGCTTCAGAAAAAAACATTCGTGTGACGCTGCCTTACAGTTCACAATAACAAATTGGAAAGAAAAAAATTGATAAAGATAATTTGTTTGTACATTCTTGGATTCAAAGAGGGCATTCGAAACAATAGACAGAGATATATTAATCCAAAAGCTCAAATATTATGGTATTGGTGATGCAGTTTTGAAGTGGATGAAAAGTTACCTCAGTTCGCGAAGTCAAATAACTAAAATTAATAGGTGCTACTCATAAGAGTAAGTGAATGATTTTGGAGTTCCACAAGGTAGTGTATTAGGACCTTTACTGTTTCTGATTTATATAAACGATATCAATTACGTAGATGGTGATCATGTGATTAACTTATTTGCAGATGATACATTAATATATACCTACGATAAAACCTTGCAAGTCGCTATTGAAAAGATGAATAATTCATTGAAAAATATTGAGTTGTATCTTGGAATAAATAAACTGAAACTCAATATCACTAAAACTAAGGCGATGATCATCACAACAAAGAATAAACAAAATAAAATTGGGAGAAACACAGTCAAAATTAAAATTAACGAAACTAATGTAGAAATAGTGAGTAAAATTAAGTATCTAGGGTGCATTGTAGATAATAAAATTTCATTGAATGATCATACTGACTATATAATAAGCAAAATATCAAAGAAACTATTTTTTTTCTAGAGTGGCATCTGTATTATCAATGTATGCCAAAATAACGTGCTATAATTGCATAATAAAACCTCATTACGATTTTTGCGGGACTCTCTTATATCTGTTGAATCAGAACAAATTAAATCAAATACAAAAATTACAAAATCGTGGAATGCGAATAATATTACTCTGCAATAGAATGACACATATATACAATATGCTCTGTAGTTTAAGGTGGCTTAATGTCTCTCAACGATTGTATTATCGAACTATTATATTTATATTTAAAATAATAAATAAATTGCAACCAACATACTTAGTAAACCTTTTAATCACAAATAGTGAAGTACATCAGCAAGATACTAGATCGAACACCAATTTTCACATCCCAAGGACAAATTCACGTAGCAGTATGAACTCGTTATTTTTCAAAGGTCTGAACAGTTTCAATAAACTACCAAATAACAAAAAAAACTCTTTTTCTCTCCGTCTATTCAAGAGGGACTTGGTAACATTCATAACGAAACACTGAATTAAAGCTAATTTATATTCAAAATATAATAATAACTAAGACTTTGTTTTGAATGAATATATAAGTAAATATGTAAACGTGTATCCTATATAGAATATGTGCGATATAGTTTTTTTTCTTTTTTGTGATTTTCTGTTATTTGGTTATAATAGATTAATTTATTTTGATTTTTATGTATTATATTTAAATAAAGTACAATAATTATGTTTATATTAGGCTTGCCTATCTGGAAATAAAGTTCTTCTTCTTCTTCAATGAACTAGACATGATTAGATAGCAGAAATTTATAAAGATATGCCATAATTATGTAGCCTAGAAATATTATGTAACTTTGAAGGCCCGCTCGTTTGAAATAGTTATTAATGCAATCATACATAAACCTTTCTGCAACAAGATATGGGAAATATTCATTTCAGCCGTGATTATATTGTCTTCCCAAAACACTTTTCTCGAAGTGAACTTGTTCACTTTTCGCTAATCACTTTTTACTGAAATCATGCAATACTCTTCAGTTCGACAGTGATGGTATACAAGTATATAAATGTATTCAGGAATTATTTATTAACATGCAATATTCTGGATATTCGAAGAAAAAAGTAAAAAAAAAACTGTAGGATCCGAACTGTTAACTGAACATCATTTATCCACTTCATCCGTTGGAGATACCGGAGATGATTTCAATTCATGAAAAGAGGATTTTAACAAATATCTCTGTAAGCAAAGAGTAAAACTTTTCTTTTTTGCCAAATTCATCTCTGCCTCAGAGAAATATCACACAGTTTATTGATATTTTAATTATTTCTAAGAATTCCATCTAAATGTTAAATCGTTGACAGTTACACCACTGATTTTCTATGAATCTGTGTGCCTATCGTCAATTTTCACGTACCTTGGAAACAGTTTTGCTGGCCCCCTTTCCAAAACCACGTTCTATGACGAAGAACCCAATCTCAGAGCGATCAGATATAACTCATTATCGCATAGATGAAATCTTAGGTTCTCAGAAGCGTCTCATGTTTTTTGAATATTTGCGTGCTAGTGGAGCTAGCCTTGTGACCCATTTTTTAGAATATTATTCTAAAATAGTATCATGAGTGTCAGACACTATTCATAGACTAAAACTTTTGTCAGACGCTTTAAAGCTCCACAAAAACTAAATGAACTTTGATCATCTTTGCATGTCTGATTTTTCAATATGTTATTGAGGTAATTAGGTATTACGAATTTATATTTCGTTATGTCAGAAAAATTGTAGTGACCAAACATCCCCTAAACACAAAAATTAGCCGAGAGAATAAGCATGAGAGCACTATGCGCATGCGTCTCAGAGTAAAATATTTAAATATTTCAAAGTTTTTCACTGCTTTCGATATTTTTTCATTCCCATTTAAATGAGACGAATTTCAACTTTGAAGTAATTGTTAATTGATAATATTACTTTGTAATACACGTTCAAGAGGTAGCAAAAATATATGTGACTTTGTGGGACTTCAACTAGCGTTTCCTAATATGACTGATAACCAGTCCGTGCAAAGTTATCGTTAAATCATCTTAAAATAGAACTTATAATGGGTGATGATCAACTGTATTGCCAAATATGCGCAAAACTAACTGACTATTATAAAACAACAAGTATAGCTGTGACAACAGTCAATCTAATAATAACAATGATGCTGAGCCAATGGAATCAATCAAGTCGCCTCGAAGCGCTAATCAATTTTTGTTGTTGTTTCATAATTTCATAATTTGTATTATTATTATTATTGTTACGTTTTTACCCGTGGGTTGACTAATAATTGACTACACTGAACAATGATCAAACTTGAGTTTATTTCACTTCAAATACAACAAATACTTCAACTAAAACTTCAACTATTATTCGAACGTCTATCGCCTTACTAGATCGCTTCGCGTACCGTACTGTAACTTCCACTTGATTGTTTCGATGGGCAAGTGGATAGCGCTTATATTTGGATATCGAAGGCGCCGGTAGCATTATTCTCGCTACATCTAGAACGGCAGCGAACACCGAATATTTGCGCGCTCTTAGCTACGTCACAATTGGTTTGTGGCTACCAGTGGTGGCCAGCGTTATTTTCTTTAGGGCATGATTTACAACATTATTATAATTGAAGGGGTTATATTTTTAGAAGTGATTAATTTTTGGGAAAGAAAGTTTTTGACTTTCTACTACTCCATCTTGATACAAAAAAAAGGGATGAGGGAATCTTCCAAAGGAAGGAAGGAAGTGATCAATTTGAAAATAAGTAACTCTATACATGGATGTGTAGATCATGAAAAGAAGTAACTTTCAGACACAAACCGAAAGAAAGTCTTACTGAAACAGCTACTTTCATATAAACATTGAATTACACGAAAGAAAAAAATTCTTTCGAAACAAATACTTCTATAAGAACACTGAATTGAACAGAAGATACTTTTCTCTACTCAGTTTGTATTTCAAACATTCGTTGTGGAAGAAAAAATCAGATATCATTCACATGACTTCTACTTTGAATGAATGGTAACAAATTACACTTACATGGAACACTGTCATCCTCAATGGTATACATCGATGTTTCGCCTTGAGACACTTGCCCTAAGGCTCTTCACATTGATTAAATAGTTACAATATGTTTTTCTTAACCCAAAACTTCAGGTTTCCAACTTCAAAATTGACGAAATTCAATACAATTTCAGAACCTCTTTTTTTCTCTCTTTGGAGCAGAAATTTCTGATTCCTTTTCTTGGTGCTATACAAAGAACCTACCTGTAAATTTCAAGATTCTAGGATCCGTCGGCTGTACGTTAATATAAGAGTGTCAGTCAATCAATATGTGCCCACTTATACAATACTAGCTGTTCCCCGTTGTTATACCCGCGTTACCATGACCAACGTCTTGAGTACAATCGGAATGGAGCCCAGCTCCCTTACCCTTTCGGCTAATTTACGTCGAAGAGGGACAAATGGGTTCATGACTGAGGGGATGACGGTATTAAGTCCTCAGACATCAGTTCCGCCCTTCACGGGATACCCCTACCTGCCTGGGGTGGGATGGATGAAAAAGCTATTCGATCGTTAACGGTGGACATGAGGATCTCATTCGACAGAGTGTCGGGGCCTCCTATATCGGGAGGGGTCGTCTATAGCTTCCCAAACTAACAGACTTATTCCTCCGAGATCTGACTATTTATAGGTCATTCGAGTGCTTTCACCTATCCACTCTTCCCTCTCTCCGCTTCATTGGTTTAAACGTCAGATGACCGTTTGGCGGAAGTTGGTCGTTTTTCGCTTGATTAGAGGTTTCCATATGTTACGTATCTTTACGCTATCTTGACTAAATGCGTTGTTGAACAACATATACGCGGCTTCTTTGAATTTTCTCCTAAGCCAGGGTTCCTCTTTGTGGATGATTTCAGCTTGAGCCCACTTGATTCTCCTCGCTGTCTGTGTTTCTTGTGCTCAGCGATGCGAACTTTCAAAGGCCTCTTAGTATCAGCGATGTATGATTCTCCGCACTCGCAGGATATTCGATAAATGCAATTCTTGGAATCGCAGTCCGCATTTGGTGGCCTGGTTTTCGTGAGGCTGCTACGGATAATGTTCCCAGATCTGAAGCAGGTTCTGATGTTATACTTGGAACCAATCCTTCTTATCCTTTCCGATAATCCTCTGATCTCTTCCTTGTGGAGCTCTTGCTGTCTTCTAGCTAAAGCCTGTTCTACTATCACTCTGGAGTAACCTTCCGTTGAAGGTCATTTTTGATGATGCCTAATTCCTTTTCGTTATCACCCGAAGACGATCGTGGATACCAACAATCGAAACGTCGTGACGTAACTTGGTTTGGAATCTTATAATTTTCATTTCTAATTTTTTGTTAATAATATTTTTAATTTTTTAATTTTCAGCCTTTATTAATATTTAAAGTTTTTATTTTTTTGGTTGTTATTTTTTGTAATTTTAATTTTTTTGTTTAATAAAATTGTTATGTTCGGTTAATCTTTCCATATCTTTTTCAGGAATTTCAAATCAATTCATATTATATTAGACAATTCAAGTCCGAAATGATGAAATACTGTATTACATTGATTATTTACAAACTGAGTGGTGAGTAGAAAGAAGGAAAAAAACAAAGTTAAATTCATTGTGAGGGAGAGAGAATATGGATATTTATTGTATTTTGTATTTCTTATCATTATTCGAGTTCGTATACGGTTTTTAGTTTGTTATAATTTTGGTTCACATATTCTTTCAGTTTTGATTTCATTTTACGTTGATTAGGAATGACTCTGATTTCTATAGGGACTAGGTTTAACAATTTTGGATCAAAGTATGATATAAATTTCAGTGTATGTGTGTTAGTCTACAGAGGGGAACATTTGTTTTCTGCTCAGATTTAGTACGTGTGTTGTGAGTATGATTTATCTGATTTGAAAATTAACGTTAATATTGGAAGTTTATAAAGAACTGACTCTTGACTTGATGAAAATCAATAACACTATTCATGATAATAATCAAACATGATAATCAAACACTTTTCAGAAATATTGTATATTTCTAGACACAGTTCGAACACCACACTAACACCTGGACGCGAAACGCAATTGAGTCTAGAAATAAAAAATGTGCAAATAGAATATTTTCACTTTTTGGTTATAATGTTGATGTTGAGGCTAATGAGGCTCTGGTACTAGTGAACGTGTTTCGTGGCTAACCCTGTGCTTAGAGCTGAAGACTTGCCATTTTCTGCAGTATCTCTATCATATCCACCATGTTCAATGAATGTTTTTAAAATTTTCATTCTAGTTTCCAGCTGAGAAACTGGGTATAAGTTTATTAATTCCGAAGATCAGAAACCAGCACAATGTGTGATTGTGTAGAAATTCAACATACAGTCATATACAAAACTTTCAGAATATTGAATGAATAATCTCAATTCCAAAACACCTACCACTAGTATCTCCTGAAAGACACATATTTTCCAGCCCACTATATGCATATTTGGTTTCTGAGGTTATTGAGTGTGACCGTCAATTATTCAATGAGAATTGTGGTTATCCTGATGATCCCAATGCTTTGTTTGTAGTGGTGTGGCAATCCTAATTCGAAGTTAATGGGAACATGACCAGATATTCCTCTCGCCCACTATTCTTTTTCTCAAGTGGCTCATCGAATTATTAACAATACTTAACTAGTACATGATGCTGATAACCACATTAGTTGATTTTATTTGAAGGTATTTCCATCAGAAAACATCGTTTATTGAACGGGTTTTTGTCGATTATGAACGTCCTCAATAAACTAGATAAACTTTCTAGCAATGACTTTATGTCTTTCTGAATGAATTGTGTACAAAGTAGTGATGATGATGACTTCGCTCATGAAGAGACCATCTTCAAGAACGAAAGTAGAACCAAACCATGAATATTGACGATTCGTTATAAAGTGAGGCTTTACTACTGACCGTCAATAAGAAATTTTTCACTGCAAGCAGGTAACTGGATAATACTAGAGCCAAGAAAAACAATGTACCTATTATTGATTCAATGTTTTGATTCATCACAGAACTCATCAGTAATATTAGACTGGATAATAGATGCATTGTTCGAACTGTTTTGTCTTCAACAACAATTATTATCATCATGATGACACACGTAAGAAAGACGTCATCTAAGGGACGGAAAATTAAACTGAAACAACGGTTTTCATCAACATAATATAGAGAGATGATTTTTTTGAAAGAAATGAATGAAAATTTCGAGTTTTGAATTCTCCATTTTTTAAAAAGACTATTTTGCTCAAATAATTATAAGAAATTGACAAATTTTTCTGAGGAACGGGCTGCAATAAAACTTCATTCGAAATAAGAAATTAAAATTTTTTTTTTCATAAATTTCAAACCGTTTGGTATAACTATATAGTTCTAGTTTATCCTGAAAGTTATTTTTTTGCATTATCTTCACATCCTTATAAAGAGTTTATTTTCAAATTGATTGCTGTCTTCGTTTCTTTGGAAGTTCCCCACTTTTTTGTATGAAGTTAGAGAGGTAGAAATTCAGAAACGTCAGTGCTTATCAAAAGTTTATATCTATGAGTGAATTTCTACAGAAATCAATCTGAAACAACTGACATGATAAAAATAGGTAAATGTGTCAACAACACTTATATTTCCAAAAATATCCTTGTACTTCAGTAGGCTAGTTAGTGCTGCTAATTTTCCACTTTTAAGTCATCCAGTGAAAAAAAACATATTTTTATCAAATAAATATATCTAAAAAACAGTCATGAATGAAATTTCGTTCATTTAATAATTTGAATTGCAATTTCTGCATGGAATATAGAAAAGGTTTGTGTTTTGAAATATTTTCTGATATATTTTATGGGTTTACTGAACAATATTTGGACTCAATTTGTCTCTCCTGGTCATAAGAGGTTCACATTGTTGTTCTAAATGTTGAATTTAATGAGGCTATTGTGCATATTGCGCATATGCTTTTAATATTTATTTATTTTTGTCAAGTATTTGCTTGAAGATTGGCCACAGCCAAGTGAAAGGAAACAATCGTCTCGTCAGCATCAAAGTTGGGTAATTTCAAGTTACACATGCAATAATATCGAGTTCAAGACAAGATGGACCCGCCTCAACCTAGACCTTCAATGAGAGCGAAAGTGGATCATATTAGACCACAGCTCTGGGCCAAAATCATTAAAATTATGTAATTTTGGATCACTATAAAAATGATTGTATGCTTTCAGAATGCATCAGTTTCTTTCGAACAAGATCAACATCAACTAAAATGGCTTTCAAAGTAAGAATATTTTTCATTCGGTTTTATGAAAGTGAGGTAACAGTAGTTGAATAATAGGTTGCCGGAAGTTATCTACAAGTGGTTGATTGGATAAAGTTAATTTTTGTGCTGTGAAAGATTCTGCACTACGTGGAAATTATATTATGGTTCTTCATGAGTGAATAATTTTCAAAACTTTTAAAAACTTGAATTCTTTACAAATTCAACAACAACGAATTCCTTATAGGAAGTTTCGAAGATCTCTCTGGTGATACAATTTCAAGGCAGGATAATTGAAAAAATGTATCGGCCGCAACAGGATATTTTTATTATTCATTTCAATAGAAAATCGACAACTTGAACTATTCGAATTTTCTGAAATCTCCAGTTGATTTATTCAGATAATTCATTGAAGTAAAGTACTCTCTCGTTCAAGAGAGTTATGTTTTAAAGTATAAACTATAGAAATAAAAATATCAAATTATGGTTTCTATAAAAAAAACATGAAGAAATTATTGAGGAAATCTGTTCATTTCAAACTTTTTTGTGCAAATGAAGTCAAATTACATAAATTTTGAAGTCAATCCATATAGACTAGGAATAAAACCTAAATTCTTGCCGCTTGTAAAAAGAATATGTTTTTATATTTTTCAAGAATCTTTAATGCTCAGTAGACACTGAAAGAACTCATATCATAACAATAAATCTAATCTGCTGCATTTGTGTAATTGATTTTCGAATTATTTCTTTTATTTAGTATTCAATTTATAACCAGTTTTGATGTTATAAAATGTTTACAAACATAACACCGGATTCATTCATCCACAGATCGTCGTACTTACCACCCTTTTGGCCTACGCCAACGCAGGACTCATCGCCGCCCCTGCAGTAGCAACCTACTCCGCGGCTCCCGCAGTCAGCAGCTCTTACATCCACCAAGCATCCCCCGTAGCTGTTGCACACGCTGCCCCTCTTGCTGTTGCACATGCTGCCCCCGTTGCCGTAGCCCACGCCGCCCCAGTTGTATCCACCTACGCCTCCTCTCCTGTAGCCATCCATGCCCCAGCTTACGGAGCCACTCACCAAAGCGTAGAACGTTCTCTCGGAGGTGCTCAATCTGTCTCCCACTACTCCAAAGCCGTTGACAGCGCTTTCTCCAGCGTCAGGAAATACGACACACGTATCACCAACGATGCCCTTTCTGTAGCTCACGCTCCAGTTGTTTCTGCTTACTCTGCTGCCCCAGTCTATGCTAAAGCTGTTGCTCCCGCAGTTGCATACTCTGCTGCCCCATCGTTCAGCTCCTCTTACATCCAGAAGGCTGCCCCTCTTGCCTACGCTTCATATGCCCACGCTGCTCCTGTAGCTACCTATGCCCACGCTGCTCCTGTAGCTACCTATGCCCACGCTGCTCCTGTAGCTACCTATGCCCACGCTGCTCCTGTAGCTACCTATGCTGCCCATGCTGCTCCTGTAGCCGCTTATGCTGCCCATGCTGCCCCTGTAGCTTCCTACTCTGCTGGTCCAGTCGTAACTAAAGCTGCCGTAGCTTACTCTCCAGCTGCTGTTGTTTCTCACATGACCTTCAGCGGGCTTGGAACCGCTTACCAATGGTAATTCCATGAATTTCAACTACATTTGTAAATATGTGTAATTTTATTTATTGGCGTGAAATAAATATTTTCGATTTACCATGTTTTTGATTCAGCATGTTTTCATTTCTCTCAAAGCTCATAGAAATGGCTGTCAGGAACTTATATTGTCTCCATTGTAGTCGAAGCATATTTCATTTGAACTAACATGTGAACTTTCATTCTTATCCAATTTCTCACTAGCTAATGCACGCTTTCAGCTCCCCCTTTAACTTTTTCAAGGAGCAAAATATCATGTGTGTATCATTCAAAAAAGAGTTTAATATTATCCCAAAATAACAGGCTATCGTCAAAGCTGATATCATTGGAGATGAACCTTGAATTTTTCGAGACCGTTAGAAATAATAAAAATTTCAGAAGTCCTCAACTGGACGTGTTTATGGTAGCAGTTTTACGCTTGAATGACATCTCCAGCTCCAATCCAACAATTACTCAGCAACTAAACTCCAGGAATGTACCTCTGAATACTCAAGATGCTCTCTAGTAGAGCAATAAGTATCACCAGACTGGTCATGAGGGAATATCCACAGGGAGGAGTCTCATCACCCCTTCTCTGGAACATAGTTCTGGACACCCTGATTAATCACCTCAACAAAAATGGATTCTACACAATTGCATACGCAGATGACATATTTATCTTGCAGACAGAGCGCAGGATGGGGTCAAATTAATAGAAACATGGTGTAAGGAACACTCACTGTCGATCAATCCCAAGAAGACTGAGATGGTATATTTCAACAGGAAAAGAAGTTTATCTGGCTTGAAACCTCCCGAAATCGCCAGAAGCAAACTAAACTCCTCTGAAGAGGTGAAATACCTTGGTACTGTCTTCGACAGGAAGCTAACGTGCAACTTCCACCTACAGAGTAGAGCAAAAAAAGCATATGTGGCTTATGAGCAATGTCGAAGGACAGTGGGGTGCACATTGGGTCTTTCACTCCGTGTAGTCCCCTGGATCTGCAATGCAATAATAAGACCTATGTTAACGTACGGAGAGATTGCATGGGGGATCGAAAGTTCTACAAGCAACGGCCATCCAAAAATTATATCAAATAAAGCAATTGGCTTGCTTAAACATCACAGGAGCCACGAGAACAACACTAACCGCGGGAATGGAATTAATTACTGGTCTAACCCTTCTGGACCTGTACGTTAAGGAGGTTGTGGTCATGATGGCCATGGTACGATTGCGCACGGCTGGTGTAAATCTCGAAGTAAGAATGGGTCAATTGAGGCTGAGCCTATGGCGAGAAGCGCTTACTGCGCAACCTCTGCTGCAGGCAGCCAGTGATGGAATTGAACCCAGGTTTGTGTTTAATAAACACTACAAAATACAAATGAAACAGAACACAGAGTAGTCAGATGCTACAAATGCAATACGCATGTATACAGACGGCTCAAAAACCAAAGAAGGCTCAGGATGTGGAGTATACTTCAGATCACTAAACCTAAGAATTTAGTGGGGAATGGGAAAAATACCAGCTTGGTTCAAACAGAACTGGCTGGTATCTCAATCGCCACAAAAGAAATGACCAGAAAAGGAATTTCTGGTCAAAACATAACAATCTGCACTGATAGTAGACAAACCCTATTAGCCTTGAACAGACAACGTGTTACCTCAGAGCTAGTACTAGAGTGCAAACAAGATATAAACAAAGCCTCGGTATATAATAACATTATCCTGAGGTGGTTTAAATGGCACGACAGAAAAAAAGTTAATCGCATTGCCGATGCTTCAGCCAAGGAAGCGGCTGGACTGAGAATTTTAGGACCCAGTGACACCTACGTCCTGATGACTTCGACAATTGCGGAACTAACCAAACGTCATACCCATGCTCAATCCCTCAAGAGATGGGATGGAATCAAAGGATGCAATCTTGCCAGAATCACCCTGAACGACTCTGGGAAGCTGGCGTCGAAGAAATATCTGGCGATGATCAGGAAAATCTACGCTTAACAGTAGGATTTCTGACTGGCCACTGCCAACTAAGAAAACACCTCTATAATATGGGGCTAGTGGACACACCTCTATGCAGGATGTGTGAACAGGAAGATTAAACTTTCAAGAATGTCCTATGCGAGTGTCCGGAGTTAACGTCAAAAATAGAGTGTGTGTTCGGCGAGTCTTGGTCTACACCTGCCGATATAAAGGAGATGTCTCCTAGTAACCTGTCCACGGGATGGACGATGACCTAGGAGGACAACTCCTCGGGAGGATGTACAATGGGTCACATGTGGCTTAAGTGATGTGGGCTTACACTCACCCTCCTTACTCTACAGATACAGATACCATGGTCTTATCGAAAGAAATACGTGTTCTTTTAAAAAAATATGGTGAATGTTCAAATTTTGCGGGCTACGTTTATTCGATTAGCAATTTTTGATTTTTTTTATATTAGGACACTCGTCCCGTACATATGTTCACAGTTTAAGCTGTTTAGCACGTTTAGTTTGCAGTGAGAGGCATAAAAGTTAAAAGTGTTTTGCGTGCTCGGCGATTTTGTGCTATCGAAAAACAATGGATCTAATAATTTGCATCAAATATTATAAAAAATGAAATAACGTGCTCAAAAATATTTGAAATGTTGACAGTGGCATACAGTGATGATACTCTGAGCCAGATAGAAGTTTTCAAGAAGTAGAAACTTTTCACGGAAAGTCGGGAAAATATGAATGACGACGATCGCATTGGACGCTCCAGCAGTGAAAAAAGTTGTTAAATCATTATTAGAGAATTTGTTGAGAATGTCAGCATTTCTGTTGGATCATGCCATGCAATTTTTGCAGAATCTACCAAATTTGCTCCCCTGCGACTTTTTTCTATTCCCAAGAATGAAATACCCATGAAAGGACCGCGTTTTACGGCGATTGAGAAGATAATGAGCTCAAGTGCATATTAGAACTGCTTCGAAGATTGAAAATAACTTTGGTACATGTGCATTATATCTGAGGGGGATTATTTTGGAGGGAACAAAATAGAAATTGATGAATAAGTGAATATTTTTTTAACAGACAGTGTATCTTTGTAGAATTTGGAGTTGTGATTCAGTCGAATTCAGAATCAAATTGTGATAAATGTAAACTCAACTTTCAGAAATATGAAAAGTGTCAACTTGTTCAACCTTGTATAATACACCTCCGAATGATGCATTGTTCAGCCGCGAATAATTCTGGAGGTTGATGCGACTTTGAATAAAGTAAGTTAAAAAAATCAACCGATGTCAAAAATACATATGCGAAAACTTCTGCTGTTTTTCTCAGATAGCTATGATATCTTTCGAATTCGCTGTTAACGAATCGTTGGGAACCAATTCAATAGTTATTTTGTGGCGATTTATGATTTTATATCGAAGACAATGAGGTTATTCCCAACGAAATTATTGTACACGGTGTCATTCAGTTGATTATGAGGTAAGAAACTTGAAATTCAGTATATTGATATAGTTCATCGAAGCTGATATTTGGGAATCTATATAGAGTTAACCGAAAAAAAATGCAAAACTTCAAATAGAACCCTTTATATGTTTTTCGACCATTTGATCGAATATGAAATTCTCTTCTCAATGATATTACATATGTCGCCATTTTCTTTCAAACTGGCGGCCTGGAAGCTATTTTCTCCAAATTCGATATGGCAACATTATGACATCATTTGTAAAAATATTGTCAAACAACTACATGTAGGGAGAAACAAACGATGGAATTTGCGTCAAAAAATTTGAAGACTGAAAATTTTCACTAGTACACGTGTTTTTTCTCATTTTTTCCTTTTTTTTACATCATCTATCTCAAAAATCTCAATAGGAAGTAAAATTCCTTGAATCAAAACATTCAAGTGTTCCTCTTGTACTACAAAATAATGTCAAAGATACTATGCTATTTATTTTTCTGTGCCATTGATAAAAATAGTTAGTAGTAATTAACTCACAATAATATAGAGCAACCTTTGACACGAATTTTCAAGTGTGTTATCTTCAAAAATATTCACTTTGATAAACTATACCTTCATTTCGAATTTTAAATTTCCTACATCATAAACAATTGAATGGCTACATGTACAATGATTTCGTTGTCACCCAGTATAGTTATTGAAATTTCTGTTTTCGGAAAACACTTTCCCCAGAAGGTATGTGATAGGTACAATATTTTAGGATCAATGAATCTGGTTGTTTTTTCGAAATAATATCCATTTCTTCTTCTCGTTTCTCTCGTCAAGCCACACTTTTTCTAGCCGTCACAGTTACCCATAGTAATCTTTTTTTTCTAGATAAATTTTGAACAGAGGTGCAGTTATAACATTTTTCTCTAAAATAAGACACAAAATCGTGAATTTGTCACAAACTGTTCACCATTATCATCATACTTCGAAATTTTACTAGAAACATCTGTTTCAGAATTCAATGGGTGAATATCCAAAATAAAGGTCGTTTTGGTTGCGCAAAAGCAAAGAAGAACCGATTTCGTAACATGACCATTTCTGTCGATCGTTCAAATCTTGAGGCACCCATTTTTCGAGCTTTTTGACCTTTCTAATACGTTTCAAACCATTCAAAACCGCATAGAAGATGACGCCCAGTTCTTCCGCCATCCTACGCACCGTTTGTGATGGGTCAGTGTCTACCAGAGTCCTCGAATACTCCTCTTGGATTTTTGCAGATCGACAACTTCGGAGTTCATCTTCGAAACTAAAATCTCCGGAACGAAATTTTGCAAAACAACGGAAAACATTGCGTCCATTAACACTATCATTGCCAAATGCATGGTTGATTTTTCGGATTCTTTTGTTAGCGCTTCGGTTCAATTTGAATTCGTAGAGGAAAATTGTCCGAAAATCGCTTAACAACATTATATAGTAATGAGCTGAAAAGAGGCAAAAAGAATTGGAAGTAACTGAACAGTATCATACATATAGCACAAAGTTCTCTATCGATCAGTGGATGCCAGAACACAGTCCGATTTGATGTCATGTGTTATTGTAGCTCCATATATCGATAAATATTTTCGAAACAGGTTAACC